GTTACTGCTGCTGTTGCTTTCTGCTGCTGCTGCTTCTACTACTACTACTACTACTACTACTACTACTACTACTACTACTACTACTACTACTACTGCTACTACATAGAAAGCAGACCTTATGGGACATAATTTGCAATTACCTGTTTGAAAAACCTCACACTAGTTGTGTCCCTTACTTTTGATCTATCGCACTGTGTGGTGTCTATGTTCATTGTCTCGAAAGTGAAAAATAATCCCCAAACAAATACATGTAAACTTTAATAGTTTGTTTCAAGAGGCACCAGTTATCTTTTCATGGTAAGTGTTTTACGGCGCTTGCAACTGCATAAGGTCATATGAGCGCGCGGGACACATTAAATATTTTCAGTTGGTGAGAAATTTTGGGTTTTGCCCGGGTTGCAGAAGAAGCCTACTCTTATCGATTTTGAACCATCGAGGAATATTTAAGGTGCGCAGCTTACATATTATCTATGGGACCTCCGAGATTGTTCGCCCTTGTCCGAGAAGGTTAGGTGTAAATCTTTCCAGTGGCGGTGGGTGAACCAAGATGTGGGTGGGGCTTAGGTTTCTTCCACTTCTTTACCACCAAAAAGCAAACAATAGGAACAAAACAGTGATGATTTTTCTATACTCACGGCGAGCCACGGCATTTTGAGAACCAATCAAACGAAAAGAGTCACCTTTGTCTTCCATCTCTTTGTTCTACGTTATATTCTTCTGGATTGTGGGGACGAAGCCGTTTCACCTCCAAATTTCTCTAATTAATTTTAATTTGATGAAAAAGTTGCCGCAAAAATGGTTTGATGTAATTAATAACTGTTAAATCTCAGCGGCACAAACACACAGCAATCCAAACACATACCATCTATGAGGTAGATTGGGTCGTGTTGTTGCAGAAAATAGAACGCTCCTGACAAAGGCCCAATGGGCGCATAGGTATCTGTGTCACTGGGGGGAAAGTGTGTCGTAAACTTTCACCCCATTGCCAGGGCTGGGACAGCGTGAGCCCTCTGTGCAGTGTTATTTTTTTTCAAGTCTTCTACCTTTTTACAAGAGGGGTTTCATTAAGGAGAGACCGTGGGAACGAGCTGGTTGATTGCTGAGTCCTAAAGACATTTGATTGGCTGTTAGGTTACTATAGTTGTAAGCGGGGACAACAGTGATTGGATAAACGAGCAAGCCGCCAAGTTGATCACTCTGTGTTCATTGCGGTCAACCAGAACAGTTTCAACTGCTTATTTCGTTATTTTCATTTGCCTTGGGATAGACTTGGGGGGTGGGGAGGGGGGCTCAAGCCCGTGAGCCCTTCACTACCCACCGCCATTGGATCTTTCATACCATAAGATCAGGGGTAAGAAGGAGCCAGAGAGTAGCAGCAGAAAAGCTGCAGAAAGAGCTAGGAGCTCAGAGGAGGGGGCAAAGCAGGTGAGGGGGTGGGGGCAGAATGTGGAGGCGAAAGCAGACGATAAAACGTTGTTGTTAGAGAGCAGGAAAGGAGGTGAAAGGAAGCAATTTTAGAGAAGAAAAATTTCCGCGGTATCCCGGTACCTATTATGAGAGGCGAACACCTTAACCTTTAGGTCATGAGGGCCCCCACCACCTATGGTTTAGGTGCGGTTTCTCCTTCATTTCCCTCTGTCTCTCAATTCATTTTTCATTTATGTTTATCAAACCTGTTTCTGTGATTTTTCCTTTTTTAAAAACCAAGAACTGGCCTACACTTGATTATTACTGAAACGAGAATAGTTGTGTATAGTTATGTATTCCCTTCGATAGAAGGTTTACATGACTTGGCAACAACTGTAAAGGTTGGCTAAACTGTTCCAATTTACCATTTTAGTTCCTCACGGGAAAATAAGAGTAAAATGTTTTTCAACCACTAATCCCTGTAACTTCTTTATCATATAATTTTGCAGTTTCAGGTATGAATCAACAATCATGCTGAATGATAATGAAAAATGTTGCTGTATCCTTCATGGCATGACCACTAGCACTAGCATTTGAGAAGTTATTGCATTTTGATTGCTTTTTCATAAACACCAGAGAGACAGATTTCGCGAAGAAATTGATTGATAGTTACACAAATCAAACTACAACAAGCCCCCCCCCCCCCGAATGCATGCCCACCTCTGACTCACAAAATTATGCAACTCTCTCCCTTACAAAGCAGAAGCAGCAGCCACCTCCGTCCAAACCCTCGCTCTTTAAAAACCATAACAAAAATATAAAATCCACTTAACAACAACTAAACTCCAAACCAATCTGAATAAAGCAAGAAGAAACAATTAAAGGCTACTACATTCCTCCCCTCTGTAACCTGAACCCCCCCCCAACCAAAAAAACCCAAAAAAAACCCCCCAACCCCAAACAAAACAAAACAAATAAAAAACAAAACCAACCTCCCAATACCAGGGTCATTGACTTAAAGCTGAAAATGGGAACATTCTCTTAATGACATTATGTTTTCTAAGGAACTGTCAGGGTCAATTAACTGTAAATATGCACCCATTAAAACTGTAAAATCCC